GCTCAAGTGATTTACCTGCCTTGGACTCCAAAGTGCTGGGATTACAGGTGTGAGCCACCGTGCCTGGCCTCATTCATTCATTCTTTCTTCTTCACATTCACTCATTTATTAAGTTACTTGACATTCCTGAGCTCTGGTTCAGTGTCAGGTGCAGGCCGATGCCGTCCTCCACACCCCCCGCCCACATCCGCCACACTTTCAGATGCCCCAAGAACTTGAACTTCATTTATTACAAAGAACTGGGTTCACTGCATTGTATGATGAACAGCGAAGCCTAGAGGGGCAGCCCAGGCTGTGGCTCCAACAACCTCCCCCAACATGCCCAGCCCTGCATGAAGTCCTGGGTGGGTGAGGTCACCTGGACTGGGCCTTGGAGCTGTCCTGTATTTATAAAACCAAATGGGTCCAAAGACTCCTGGAGATACATACATATATATATATATATGAGACATAGGCTTCCTTTCCACAGGGCGTTTGTAAGTGGGACTGTTGACACCATCCCTGGGAGAGAAGAAAGTCGGCTGTGGCAGGGACTGGTCCCAGAGTGAGCCTAGGCGCTGCATCAGTTTGAGTGGCTGGTTAGCCTGGACCCTGGGCAGGTGTGGGGCAGCCCATCCTGCCAGCCACAGGAAGCTCTAGGCCACCTGGATTTGCAGGTCCTCGTCCTCGTCCAGGTCGCTGGCTCCATCCCCGGCCTCCTCGGTGCCAAAGCGAGCACTGCGGATCTTCCCGAAGAGGGGAGCGTTCTGCTGCTGCCTGCGGAGCCTGCGGGGTTGAGGTGATGGGAGGTTAGAGCAGCCTGGCCGGCAGTCCTCCAATAAGGTGGCTGCAGCTGGTGCAGCAGCAGTTAAGCCTTCCCTGGCGCTTTCCCCGCTGTCTCATCTCCTGTAATCTCCTTATATGATAGAGGTGCCATTATCACCCCCATTTTATAAGCAAGGAAACCAAGGCACAGAAAGGTGAAGTCATTCGCTCAAAGTCACACAGATGGTGGGGAGTGGGGCAGAGCTCTGAACTGAAGTGGGTGGTGCCAGAGCAGCTGGGCGGTTAGAGAAGTGAAGGAGTTGGCTCAAGGTCATGCTGCGGGATTTGAACCCAAGCCTGGCTCTCAGAGCACAGGCAGCAGAGTTGGGTGGTGGTGACGGTGGCGGTGGGCTGAGCCCTCTACATTCCCAGTGTCAGTGAGAAAGGGCTCAGCCCCAGTTCTTCCTCACATTAAAATTCCTAAAGTCAAAATTTACGAGCAAAACTTTGACTCTAAGAAGAGCTGGTGAAGGAAATGCCGATCCCTCCCCCCACCCCCCAGCAAAGTGGCCACCCCGGCTGCATCTTACTGGAAGGCATGAATTATTAACACGCAAGGGAGGGGCACAGGCGGGGGCCTCCATTACTGCACAGTGATTTAGTGAGCTGTCCCCGGAACATTAAAGCACGAAAAGTTGGAAAATAAAACGACACAGCGGTCCTGGGTGGCCCCACCCTCCCGGATGGAAGCACTTGAGAGGCCCAGCAGAGCCTGCCTGCCCACTTCTGGAGTTTATGGCTCCTGAACAATGTGACCCAGACTGCGGGAAAGCCCCAAGGCTAAGTGGGCTTTTGAAGGGTGTGTCCTGCGGGGTCAGAGTGGGCAGAGCCAGCCAGGCATGGGTCCTGACTTGGACCCATGCCTGGGCCCCTGCACAACATTTTATGGGCATCATCCCAGGCGGGTGGGGAAATCGAGACTCAGTTTACCATGGGACAACGGCTGTTAGGTCTCTGCAGCCCATACTCTAAGCCACAAGATCTCAGCGAACAGCAGCATATAGTAAATGCTCAGTAAATAAGGGCTTGGATGGTTGATGGCTGGGGTGATTCTGCCTGGCCACCCACGAACTGTGTGGCCATGGAAAGACTTACCCTCTTGGGCCTTAGTTTCCTCATCTGCCAGCCCCCTAGGAAAAAACATCTTTCCTTTCTCTCATAGAAGCGGTGTGATGCTGAAGCACAATATGTAACCCAAATATAAGCCCCTCCCCAGCAGTAGTAGTAATAGTAGTAATAGCAGCAGCTGCTGACAATTACTCAGCATTTATTATGTGCCAGGTGTTTTCCTTTCTCTCTGTCTCTCTGTCTCTCTCTCTCTCCCCGCCTCCCTCCCTCTCTCTCCCTCTCTCTCTCTTTGTCTCTTTCTCTCTTTCTTTCTGACAGGATCTCACTCTGTCTCCCAGGTTGGAGTGCAGTGGTGTCATCACAGCTCACTACAGCTATGAACTCCTGAGCTCAAGTGATCCTCCTGCCTCGGTCTCCCAAGTAGGCGGAACTACAGGCACACACCACCATGCCTGGTAAGTTTTGTATTTTTTTTGTAGACATGGGGTCTTGCTATGTTGCCCAGGGGTCTCGAACTCCTAGTCTCAAGCAATCCTCCTGCCCTGGCCTCTCAAAGTATTGGGATTACAGGTGTGAGCTACCATGCCTCGCCTCCAGGTACTTTCATAAGAATGGATCAGCTCATTTAATGCTCACAACAATCAAGAGGTAAGAACTATCACCATCCCCATTTTACAGATGAAGAAACTGACACAGAGAGGTTAAATAAGTGTCCCAAGGCCACACAGCTGCTAATGCTGAGCCAGGCTTCACACCATTCAGGCAGTCTGGCTGCAGAACCGGGCACCCTCTATTCCACGAAAGAAGAGAATGCAAGTAAATGCATTCTCAGGGCCCGGCACCGGTCAATTCTGTGATCCGGCACAGGTCAATGCTGTGGCTCCAATGCTCCTTGGGCCTCCCAGCTGTGAAGTGGGAGGGACCTGGACTGAAGTTTTCTGATATCACCTGGCTCTGTGATTCAGAGTGCTGGGAAGGAGACAGGGCTGGGGGAGGGAGGCAGAGCGTGCTGGGTGGGGCCTGTTGGCAGTGGAGGGGATCCAGGCCTGGAGCTCCTCCACGATTCCCTGCTTGCCAGTCTCTCAGATCCCTGATGTCCCGGTGTCACCTGGGCCCAGTAACCCTGAACACTGCTTATTCTTCTTGTCCATGACTCTGGAGCCCTGCTGGCCCCACCCACTGTCCCCCCCACCCCCGCCTTGGGCCTGACCTCTCCAGCCCGCCCTTCCGGCCCTCACTCCGCCCACCAGCCCTCCCACTAGAGGAGACAATTCCAGGGCCTGCAGCTGGCCTGACTTCCTGCACCCCCTGCCCTGCTTTCCTGGCTCTGGCCCTTCCTGCCCGGAGGGGAAGGGATTCTGGCTCCAGGCACCTGGACCTCTTCCTTCTCCGTCTCCCCCTCCAGCCTTGGTTTGGGCTCCATCCCTGACTGGAGGGTTCCCTGGCTGGAAGTCTCTGCCCTGTTTTTGTTCCCTGCCCGGGGCCCACCTGGACTGCAGGTGCTCCAGTTGCACTTGCAGGTTCTCACTCTGCTCCGTCTGCTCGTCCAGCGACCGCTGCAGCTTACGTGCCTGGTTGTGGGCCTCGTCCAGCTGCGGGGGGGTGAGCAGGGCCGAGAGCATGAGGGTCACCCAGGGCTGGGCAAGGCCGGCCACCCGCCCAGGGACAACCACTCCCACCGCTGTTCCCTGGGAAGGTGCTCCTCCCAGAGCGTTTGCTCCTTGAGGCCTAGGCTAAGGTTTACCTCTTCCAGAAAAGCATCGCTTTGGTTCCTCTCCATCCCCTTTGCCTCCTCTTGCACATCTACCCATCCTCCCAAGCCCTGCACTACTGATGCAGCCATCCACCTCCTATCCTTCTGTCCCCATCAGTCTGTCCATCTGACCATTCGTCCAGGGAGATATTCATCTGCCCATGGAGACAGTCACCCATCACTCCCCATCCATTCATCTAATCAGCTGCCCATCCAGCATGCCTAGCCATGCCTTCCTGCTCTCCCGGACACACCTACCTTCCCGTCAACCTGGCCTTTCTCCCTCTCCATTCGTTCTTCCACCCACTGACCCAGTCAGCTGTCCATCCGTTTGTCCACTGTCTACCCATCCAGCCATCATCTGTTCATACATCCATTGGAACCACCCATCCATCCGCCCGCCCTGCTTCTCTCTCCCATTCATCCATCCACTCATTCCTTCATCTATCGGTTCATCCATGCACACATTCATCTTGTCTTCCGTTCATTTTTCTTCCTATCTTCCCACCCACATGTCTATCCTGCCATCCATTCATCACACACCTACCCACTCTACCCTGGGCACCTCCTGAGAGCCAGGCTTGTGCCAGGCACCAGGGGCTGAGAATGGAGAGGCCAGGAGGGCCCTGCGGCCCCCACTCCTCCCTGGCTGAGGTCTGTGGCTGCCCCTGCCCCTCCGTGGTCCTCACCTCATCCTCAGCCTGGGCCAGCTCCTTCTTGAGCTCCTCCACCCGCAGCCGCAGCTTCTTCACCTCGGCCTCGTGCTGCTCCACCCGCCGGTTGGCATGTGCCAGCTCTGCCACCTTCTCCTGGAACTGCTTCTTCAGCTTGCCATGCACATGCTTCAAGTCTGCCAGCTCCTGCAGGGCACAGGGATGGGGTGGGAGGGAGGGGGGATCAGTATCAGCCTGGGCGCCATGCCAGGGAGTCCCATGAGGTCAGGCAGTTCTAGGGATGCTGGGTGTCTCTCCTTCCCAGAATCTCTCCATCTGCTGTCTGAAATATCAGCATTAGAGCTTTGGCTGAGAAGCCAGAGGCTGGAGGTGCCTTCTAGGGAGGTGAGAGGGCTGGGTGGGTGGAACCTGTGGCTCCAGTTTGGATGTGTAACTTTCAGATGCTACTGGATCTGCCCTGGAGCTGTTGAAGCAGAATCGGGGTTTCTGGGGAAGGATGAGGTCTGGCGTCTTCAGGGGCATATACATGGCATTGAAAGACCTGGGTTCGGAATGAGCTAGGCTGGGGAGTAGGTGGGTGTCTCAGAGCCCAGAGTGGTTGGGGAGAGGAAGGGCAGCCAGCAAAAGAGGTGTCCACTCTGGAGCTCTGTGAGTTCTCCAAGCCTCAGTTTCCATATCTGTAAAATAGGAATAGGCATTGCCTGAAAGTCTCGAGTCCATCCTTTTTGTTCCATCTCTACCGACTGCAACCTGGTCCAGGTCTCCTCCCTCTCTTGCTGTCCAGAGAATGTCAACAGTTTCCCCCCAGCCTGTATTCCCATCCTCTGTCCACACAGCCTGCTCACACTTTCCTCCTGCTTTAAACTCTCTCGAGGAGGCCCGCCACTCCTGCCTCACCTACCACATCCCCCCGCTCACTCCCCTCCAGCACACTGACCTTGTTCCTCCAAAGCTCTGTGTCTCTTTCACCACGGACATTTATTCATGTTAGTCCTAACTTCTCTCCATCCCCTCCCCTAAATCCACACACTACCAGTCAACAGCTGCTTTTCCTAGAGAACTCAGTTTCTTTATTTATTATTCTTTTTTTGAGACAGAGTTTCTCTCTGTCACCCAGGCTGGGGTGCAGTGGTGCAATCTCAGCTCAGTGCAACCTCCGCCTCCCGGTTTCAAGCGATTCTCCTGCCTCAGCCACCCAAGTAGCTGGGATTACAGGCGCCCACCACAATGCTCGGCTAATTTTTGTATTTTTAGTACAGATGGGGTTTTGCCATGTTAGCCAGACTGGTCCCAAACTGCTGACCTCAGGTGATCCGCCCGCCCCAGCCTCCCAAAGTGCTGAGATTACAGGTGTGTGCCACTGCGCCCAGCTGAGAACTCAGTTTAAAATTCACTGCCTCCAGGAGACATTTCCAGGACCGTGGGCCTAAGCCAGGTCTCCTGGTATCCCCTCTTCTTGCTGGTGACCATGAAGCTGTGTGATTGGCATGAATCTGTGTGACAGAGAGAGCCACGTGCACATCCCCCAAGTGAGCCTTCAGCTCCATGAGGGCAAGAGGGGAGGCCACATCTGTCTGCTCAGTGCTGTGTCCCTGGCACCTAGAGTGGAGCCTGGCACACAGTAAGTGCTCAATGAATGTGGCTACTATAATTACCAACTGGTCTAGCACACAAGGTGCTCAATACATGCAGCTACCATAATTATCACCAGGCCTGACACACAGTAGGGAGGCTACGCTCTGGGAGGTGGCGGCCCCAGCACTGGCCACTCCACTCCTTGCCCCACCTTGTTCTTCTCGAAGAGCGCGGCTTGGCTGGCCCTCAGGTCACAGTCCAGTGCACTGGCTGTCTGCCGCCGCCGCCGGGCCAGCGCCTCCTCCAGGTCCCCGACCTGTGCCCGCAGCTTCTTGTTCTCCCGTTCAAGGCCCAGTTTCTCTGTCTCTAGCCGCTCCCGGCGGCCCCACTCCGCGGCATTTTCGGCCTGCAGCCGCTCCATCTGCAGCAGGGCAGGGCAGAGTGAGGACTCCCAGGGGAGGGGGCATGCAGGGCCTGAGCTGGACGCCCCCACCACCTCCTGGAGCCATTTTTGGCTCCAGGAAGCAGATCCAGCTGCATTGGCTATAATTAAGCTGGGCTCATTTCATGGTGTACAGGATGTGAGAGCGCTTCTGGCCTCTGTATGGGAGAGAGGCCTGCCTCCTGCAGATCAGGACACCCTTGAATGTGGCTGGTCCCCCTCAGAGCATAGGCCTGGCCCCTGCCCTTTTCCCAGTGACCCGCTGATGGAGGCAGGGCCCCAGGACCCCTAAACCCAAGTCCTCCTGGGTCCCATCCATGGCCTCACCTCGCCCCTCAGCTCGGCCATCTTCCGGTCCATGCTGGAGCGTGCACCGAGCTCATCCTCCAGGTCCTCAGACATGCGGCCCAGCTCATCCTGGTGCGCCTCCTTCAGGATGCTGAGCTGCAAGGATAAGGCCCCACCTGGTCATGAGAACCACCAGGATACAGCCTGGAACCAGCTCCAGGGGTAGGTACCAGTGCAGGAGTGCTCAGCGCAGAGCCTGAGGCAGCACCCAAATGGGGCAGGCACCAGGTATTCCAAACAGACCTCAAATCTGACCACTTCCGCTCCTCCCAATGTCTCTCTTCCTCATTACTGTCTAGCCTCCCAGTGTCTACTCCTGGCCCTTCTCCGTCAACCCATTTTCCACAACAGCAGCCCAGAGGGAGCTTTTAACAAAGATGAATGCAATCATACCACCCTCCTCCCACGAAGCCTCTGATGGCTCCCAGGTGCCTTAGGGTAAAGTCCAGCTCCTCTCTACACTCACAAAGCCCTGCACGATTGGGTGCCTACCCACCATTCTCCCCTTAGTTCACTGTACTCCAGGCACCATGGACTCCTTTCTACTCCTCAGACACACCAAGTTCCTGCCCACCACAGGGCCTTTGCACATGCGTGGAACATTCTTTCTGAGACACTTCATAGGACTGATTTTTCTTACTCTCAGGCCTTGACCTAAAGGTCCCCTCCTTAGGGATGCCTCCTCTGTCCACCTGGCTTGGAGGAGGGGCCTCCTCATCCCACTCCCCACTGGAAAGCTAGCCTGGGAGGATGGGGAGCTTCTGTGTCTGTCACCTTTGTGTCGTTGTATGGCCTGGGCACAGGGCTGCCCTCAGTGTATAGTGACTGATTCCAACACTGCTCTGCACACAGATGCATCAGAATTGCTTGGCATGCATTTAAGACAATAACATTTCTTGTGGTATACAGCAAACCCCAACAAACTGCTGCTCCCTCCAACACATGGATGAGTTTTCGACACACAGTGTTGAGGGAGAAACGTCACATACAAAAGAGAACCTTTATAATTTTCTACTAAATTGTACATTTGTGTTTCCTTTGCTTTTCTTCAAAGGATTATACTTCATAATTTGAAAAGAATACAAAACAGGGTCCTGGACCCAAGCCTGAAAGGTGCTGATTCAGGAAGGTGGAGGTGAGGTCTGGGAATCTGTATTTTAGGAGATTTCCTAAGAGATTCTCATGTAAGACTAGTCTCGGTCACCTCCAGGACAGTTTCAGACTCTAAAGGTCTGTGATCCTCCCAGCTGCTAGAAACTGACTGATCCAGTGCGGCGTTCCGTGGGTGGCTGCGCCCTCTGGTGGCCACTGAGGCCTGCACAGGAGGCAGTCGTGGCAGCTCAGCCTGCTCTGAGCCCCGACACCTGCAGTGGTGGATTCCCTTCTCTGTAGCCTCAGTTTCCCCATCCGTAAGGTGGGGACATGAGGACCCAGCTCCCTGGACTGCCATGAGGCTTCAGTGACACCTAGTACAGATAGGATCCCAATGAACGCCACATCCAGACTTCTCCTCTTCATCTTGGTCTACAAGGTCCCCTCCTGCGGCCTCGCCTCTCACTTCCTGCTCTCCAGACACTTGGCCCTCCCTGTTTCCCGCACGTGCTGGGCTTGTTCCTGCCTCAGGACTTTGGCATCGCTGTGCCTTCTGCCAGGAACACTCTCCCCTGTATCTTCTCAAGGACAGCCTCCTCTAGCCCCTTTAGGTCTTGCCTCAAATGCCACCTTCTTAGGCCTTTCCTGACTTACCACCCCATCTCTCTCATTCTGTTTTGACTCTCTCATAACTCACGAATCTGCCTGGTGACTGTCGGTCTCCCCTGCCCACAGCCCCCACAAAGTGAGCTCCTGAAGGCAGGGACTGTGCCTACCCAACACTCAGAACAGCTCAGAATTAAATAAATAAATAAATAAATAAATAAGGCCAGGCATGGTGGCTCACACCTGTAATCCCAGCACTTTGGAGGCTGAGGCAGAAGGATCACTTGGGTTCAGGAGTTTGAGACCAGCCTGGCCAACATGGTGAAACCCTGTCTACTAAAAATACAAAAATTAGCCGGGCGTGGTTGTGGGCGCCTGTAATCCCAGCTATTTGGGAAGCCGAGGCATGAGAATCACTTGAACCTGGGAGGTGGAGGTTGCAGTGAGCTGAGATCACACCACTGCACTCTAGCCTAGGCGACAGAGTAAGACTCTGTCTCAAAAAAAAAAAAAGAACGACTGTCAGATGGTCAGACGAATTAATGAATGAATTCTCTCTTCTATTTCCACTACTGAAATTCAACAGTGTGATCCTGCCATCTCCAGGAAGCCCCTCTGGTCTCCAAGACTCACCTGCTTGAGCATCTCCTGCTTGGTCTTGCTCAGCTCCTCATACTTGATCTTCCACTGGCTGAGCTCCCCTTCTAGCTTCTCAATGTTCCTGCTCAATGCCAGTTTATCCCTAGGGAAGGGACAGACACAGGGGTGAGCCCACCGAGGCCCTCTGCTTGGAGTCCTCACCAAAGGTGGCCCTGCCGTGTACCCTCTGCACTTGTTGAGCCCAAGTCCAAAATCCTTGCCTTGGTATTCGGGCCCAGGCGCCCTACGTGACTACAAGCACCCTGGCTTTGCAGTTCTCCTGGAACTGCATTCCCTATCCAAGTGCAAGTGCCCTGCTCACATTGCGGGGAGTGGTTGGGGTTCCAGCGCACTGAGCAGCCCCGGGCAAGAACCTCTCTCCTGCTGTACTCCAGGCTCATCTGAAAATGGCTCCAGGAGGTGGCAGCCCCAGCACTGACCACTCCACTCCTTGCCCCACCTTGTTCTTCTCGAAGAGCTGTCAAAGACCACCCTGCTCCTGTCTGTTTTGTAGACTATGTTCCCTGCAAGGCTTGGTCTGAACACAAATAGAAACGCTGGAAAACACTGCCCAGTGACCTGGAGAGAGGGTCCTCTCTTGCCATCGTCACTGTGTGGGATCCCTACATCCTCCCATAACCGCCACCCTGCCTTGATCTTGAATGAGGCACTGTAGGTAAGAAGCGTGATGCCTGGCCCTGGCAGAGTAGGTGCTCACCAATGGCTGAGCTCAGCATCACCTTCCAGCACGCTGCCCTTCATAACCCCACACCACACTGGCCTGTCTCTCTGAGAGTGGAAAACTCCACGCCTCCAACATGGGGTTCCCAGAGGGGACGTCACCCTGTAGGAGGCATGTTGAAAACCCAAGGGGACATTTTTGGCTATCCCAGTGATTAGGGGTCATTTAGTGGGCGGGGGCCAGGGTGCCTGACTCCCTGCAATGCCCTGGGCGTTCTGCCCATCAGGATGCATTCTGCATCCTACTGAATGCACGCACAGCCCACTGGACATTGCTCGGGGTGGAGATGAGCTGAGCCTAGAGCCTCTGATTTACATCGAAACAGAAAGTAATGTTTATACTAACACACACTGAATTTTCTAGGAATGGAATCACTGTATAAACTGAGGGAAGACTGCACTTTTCTTTGTTTTTAGAGACAGGATCTGGCTCTGCATTCCAGAGACTGGAGTGCAGATCACAGCTCACTCCCTGGAACCGTACTCCCTACCAGAGGGCAAGTGCCCAGCTCATACTGTGGGGAGGGGGTCAAGGCTCCAGAGCACTGGGCATGTCTGGGCAAGTACCTCCCTCCCGCTCTGCCCCAGGTTCATCTGTCAAAGACCACCCTGTTCCTGTCTGTTCACAGCTCACTGCAACCCTGAACTCCTGGGCTCAAGCGATCGTGCCACCTCGAGCTCCCAAAGTACTGGGATTACAGGCATGAGCCACTATGCCTGGCTGCACTTTTCTTTGTTCAGAACTTTACCAAAGGTTGTTCATCTCTCAAGAAACCTCATCATCACAGTGACACTACTTGTGTCTTTAAGTTGCTAACTCTGCACACCTGCATGAGCCGCCTTTGTAGCTGTCCTGCGAGGTGACTTAAATGTGCAGATACATGTAAGCCTTCAACACAGCACCTGACTCGGAGCGTGTGCTATGTGTTTGCTGTTGTAACCATCGTCACTATCATCCCATGTAAAGACACCCACTCTGACCACTTCATCATTTCTTCTGGAGGAGCTAGCCCAAGCCCTTCCATATCACAACATGTGTATTTTAAGTTACTTTCAGGCTGGGTGCAGTGACTCATACTGTAATCCTGGCACTCTGGGAGGCCAAGGCAGGTGGATTGCCTGAGCTCAGGAGTTCAAGAGCAGCCTGGGCAACAAGGTGAAACCCTGCCTCTACTAAAAATACAAAAAATTAGCTGGGCGTGGTGGTGTGTGCCTATAGTCCTAGCTACTCAGGAGGCTGACGCATGAGAATTGCTTGAACCAGGGAGACAGAGATTGTAGTGAGCTGAGATAGCGCCACCGTACTCCAGCCTGGGCAACAGAGTGAGACTCTGTCTCCAAAAAAAAAAAAAGTTACTTTCACTTCTACTTTATATTTCAGTTAGTGCACTAGGTTGATTTTTTTGCTTGTTTGGCTTAAACAGTCAAAATTTATTCTCTCATATTTCTAGAGGCTAGAAGTCCAAGATCTAGTTGTTGGCAGGGCTGGTTCTCTGAGGGCTGCGAGAAAGAATCTGTTCCATGCGTCTCCCCCAGCTTCTGGCAGTTTGCTGGCCATCTTTGGTATTCCTTGACCAAAGATGCAACGATGTCCACAGAAGCATCATCCTGATCTCTGCCTACATCTTCACAGAGGCATTATACTGATTTTTTTTTGAGACAGTGTCTCTCTCTGTCACCTAGGCTGGAGGGTACTGGTGCAATCATACAATCATAGCTCCCTCAGCCTCGATCTCCTGGGCTCGAGCCATCCTCCCGCCTCAGCCATCCAAGTAGCTGGGACTACAGTGGCACAGCACTATTCCCAGCTATTTTTTTTTTTTTTTTTTGGTAGGCTGGGCACAAAGGCTCATGCCTGTATTCCCAGCACTATGGGAAGCTGAGGTGGGTGGATTACCTGAGGTCAGGAGTTCGAGACCAGCCTGGCCAACATGCTAAAACTCTGTCTCTACTAAAAATACAAAAATTAGCCAGGTCTGGTGGCACATGCCTGTAATCCCAGTTACTCGGGAGGCTGAGGCAAGAGAATCACTTGAACATGGGAGACAGAGGTTCCAGTGAGCCGAGACTGTGCTACTGTACTCCAGCCTGGGCGACAGAGTAAGGCTCTGTCTTTTTTTGTAGAGACAGGGTCTTGCTGTGTGGCCCAGGCTGGTCTCAAGCAATTCTCCTGCCTTGGAATCCCAAAGTGCTAAGATTACAGGCATGAGTCACTGCATCTGGCCATTATATTGATTTTTTTTAAAAAGGGGTATGTAGATAGGTTATGCTATTGATGTATTTAATTTCTGGACAGAAAAACTGCAGAATATTCATTATCATCAAGCTCATGCCCTCTAAACTGCCCTGATCAAGGTCACTGGTTACCTCCACATTCTAAATCCAATGGTCAGGGCTCAGCCCTGTTCTTACTGATCACTCTGTCCTCCGGGAAACTGTTTCTTGTGGTTCCCCTTCCCCAGCCCGGCTTCCTTCTCTTGTGTCCTCTGCTGTTTCCCTTTCCTCTAACAGACCTCTAAACTTGGCACTTCAGGGCTGGATCCTCTGACCTCTTCCCTATCCATACTCACTCCTTGGCCCTTGGCCAGGCTCATGGTTTTTTTTTTGTTTTTTTTGTTTTTTTTAATATACAGAATCTTGCTCTGTCGCCCAGGCTGGAGTGCGGTGGCACAATTCTGGCTCACTGCAACCTCCACCTCCCGGCTTCAAGCAATTCTTCTGCTTCAGCCTCCTGAGTAGCTGGTATTACAGGTACCTGCCACCATGCCTGGCTAACTTTTGCATTTTTAGTAGAGATGGGGTTTCACCATGTTGGTCAGGTGGGTCTCAAACTCCTGACCTCAAGTGATCTGCCCACTTCAGCCTCCCAAAGTGCTGGGATTACAGGCGTGAGCCACCGCACCCGGCCCAGCTCATGGCTTTCAATATCATCTCTTCACTGGTGACTCTTGCATTTTTACCTCCAGCACAGGACCATCTCATGAACTCCAGACTCATTCACTTCCCCAGCTGCCTCCCTGCCATCTCAAACTCACAGGTACAAAACCAAGGTCCCAGCTGCAACCTACCAACTTCCCTGTCTCCATTCCTGCTTTTACCCTGCCCACAGCCCTCTCCCCCAGCTAGAAAGTAAGTTTCAGGAAGGCAAGGGCTTCTGTCTTATTTAGGGCTGTATCCTCAGGGCTGAGCACAGTGCCTGGTCCAGAACAGGTGCCCAGTAACGTATTATTTGAATGAAGAAATAAAAACTTGCATTGAGTTCTCGGGTGGAACACCACTGCTCCACAGTTCCAAGACACAGCCTAAACACTACCTGTCATCTTCGTGAGTCTAAAGTTCTGTCATTCTGAGGGTGCTCACCTGGCCCTGCCCCTGCCCCCTCCTGCCTCCCACGACTCACTCTCGCTCCTTGAGCAGCACCTTCTGGGACTCATCCAGTCGTAGCCGCAGGGCAGTCAACTTGGAGGCCTCCTCCTCCATGGTAGCTGTGTCCTCCCAGGGCAGCCGGCTCCGCTCCTGGCGGCCTGAGCTGCCCCGCGGGCCCCCGGCCCCCATGCTGCGTGCCTCCCAGCAGTCCTCAGACTCCTCCGGCATGCTCTTCAGCAGGCTCTCCACCAGCTCCAGTTCCTGCGGGGACCAAGGTGGAGGCTGGAGCAGTGGCCGCCAAGCCAGGCCCTGGGTCTGAGATCAGCTTGATGGGTAATCTTGGGCAAGTCACACAGTGTCTTTGGGCCTCAGTTTCCTCTTCTGCTGCCTGCCTCTCCAGCTCTGGAGAAGGAAGACACGCCCTGCTCTGGGCCTCCCCCTTCACCTCCTGGAGCTGCAGTGTCAGCCGCCATGGTTCCCTGTATCCTAGAAGATTCCCCAGGAGAGGTGGTGAGCTCCCTGTCACTGGAAGTATGCAAACCTATAGTGGGGCACTGATGGGAACAAATGGTGAAGCAGGAATTCCTGTAATGGCTTAAGCCTAGATTCCTTCCAAAGGAATTCCAGCTCTAAGATCCTGTTTTTTCAGGGGCAAACAGTAAGGCATGGGGAGACTGGTGACATGGGCAAGCAGTGCCTGTGAGGAGAGCCAGCTCTCAGACAGGAAGCAGTGAGAAATTACGAACCCAGGGCCGAGACCCCTTCCTCCTTGCCATCCTCCCCTTCTTCTCTGCCCCTGCCATCCCCTGTCTCTGACGCAAACCCACAAGGACCACAGCCCCTGTTCCAGCTTCTCCCACAGCCTTTCCAGATGAGTCCAGGCCAACCTCTTCCTGGCCCGGCCCTCGGTTTCTCTAGCTGGACTGGAGTGGTGGCCCTGAGGACTCCCTGAGGAGTGAGAGGTACTCTTCTGTATCTCAGATTATCCAGGTGGGGGTGACAACTGGTTCAAAGCCCCGTTTTACGAATGGGGAACAGGGAGAGACAGGACTTGTTCTGGGCCACAGCATGAAGAGGCTGGGCTGGAGGACAAACTCAGACTGCAAGCCTAGGGCTCCTGCGACTGCCCACAGCCCTCTGGCCTGTGACGGACAACTGGAACAAGGACAGGACAGGAACGCATTGTGCACAGTGAACACCACCTCAAACACCAGGTCGCCCCAGGGAAGAGGGGACTTCAGCCACAGGAGGCAGCAGTGCCGGAGCTAGCCTATGGGGTGGAGGGGGCTGGGCAGGAGAGAGCAGGGGGCAGTCTTATCTGGAAGAGTTGGCCTGTCCAGGGACTGAGCTGGGGACAGAGCTGGGGAGCTGAACTAGGACCCTGCCCCTAGGTGGTTTTCTGGTAACAGGCCTGCTGGCTCAGGAGAGGGTGCCCTCTGCAGCAGTATAATCATATTTCACTGCAACCTCGACCTCCTGGGCTCAAGGGATCCTCCTGCCACAGTCACAGCCTCCCAAGTAGCTGGTACTCCAGGTACGAGTCACGTCGTCCTGCCCTCCTGGCACTTTTCACAGCTAATTCCTACTTATCATTCTGGTCTCAGCTTGAATGTGCCCTCTTCCAGGAAAGCTTCTGTGAAGCCTGCGTCAGGGACCTCCTCTGTGATCCCAGTGCCCTGATTTCCCCCACCGCTCAGCTCTGATTGAATCAATGGATTCAGCTCTGCTACGAATCAGCTAACTTCCATGCAAGCTGCTGGATCCCTCTCCTGCTCAAAGGGGATGATTCCTTGGTTCTGTTGACTTAGCAGGTGTGGGAGTGGAGGTATCACAGAACTTGGGATTCTCCACCCTGAGGTCTCCGGAAGGAAGATGATGTGAGGCCCCACAAGAGTAGAACCCGACCTGGAGAAGTGAAACCTCCAGGAGGCCAGGCCTTTACTAGCTTGTTTCTGAGCCCAGAAGCTCAGGCCAATCGGCCCCGCCCACTTCGAGACTGGGGCGCGAACGCCGCGCCCGCGCCGCG